AACCAGGAATAGTTTCCAAGAATGGAAAGGTAAGGACAATAATTGTGAACGGCACCTATATAAAAGAAAGATTTAGTTATGTTTCTTTTTCTTAGTCCTCTGCGCTCCTTTTACCATTTTTATTCTTTTTCTACACTTAATCTAACTTTTTATTCCAAAAGGATCCATTATATAAAAATTATTAAATATAAACTTTAAAAATGTTCATACTGTTTATTAGATTTATAGCCTATCTTTTTCTCCAGGTGCATAAGGTAGCCTTATCTTTCTTCACTTTAATTCCATAGCAACTACCCCTTTAAGTGAGGTTAGGCTGAGGGACAGTGACTGGCTCAGAGTTAGCCACTGAATTTCCATGGCTGAGTTTGAGATTAGAAAATAATACAGGTAGTTCTCAATTTAGGACCACAATTAGGACCAGAATCTATACCATAAATCTAGATTATAATCTTTTTGCTACAGTCTTAAGTGAATTTGGCTTTCCCCACCACCAGTAAACTTCTCTCGGGCTACCAACAAGTGTTTTGCTTGTTGGTAGCTCTGGGGAAGATTACTAGTGGTGATCATGTGACCCTGCTCTGGGACACTGCAACTGTTGTAATTACATGCCAATTGCCAAGAACCCACATTTTGATCGTGTGATGGTCATAAATGCAAGGACAGGTCATAAATGACTTTTCTCAGTACTGTAACTTTGAAGGTCATTAAACAAATGGCTATAAGTTGAGGAGTACCCATAGCATGTACCACTATGAAAGAGACAAATTCTATATGATGAGATTTAAAGTGCCACTTTATCTTTTATATTATCGTTTAAAGTAACTTAGGCTATCAATATTCTTCTACTTTCTATTTTAAGTATTAATATTAAATATTAAAATAATTTTGGCACAGAAGCAATTTTACAATTCCAACCATTATATTTGCAAAATTATTGTAGAAAGTATCAAGTTTTACATTTAATATAAAGTTCTAATCAGGTCTGATCTTGAGTTACATGTTGCATAGCTCAACAGGAATGTGTGACTAAAGAAAACTTTGTCAAAGCTAATTCTAAATAAAAGGAATTTATCAGCACATATGGCTTTTCCTATTTCGTCCAAAGCGTGGAGTCATTCAGCTGACCATCAGGATAAATCTTAATAAAAGGGCATAATAATATATGCTAGGAACTTTTATAACCATATCAAGTTATTAATATTCTCTTTAAAACTGAAACATTTTCCTATGGCTTTTTAATTAGAGATACTGTAAGAATCCAGTATCTTTACTCAATCACTCTAACCCCTTTAAAGTCACTTTCAAAGCAAAAGTAAAGCAAAAGAATATAAGTGAAATACAGTACATGAACTGAGTTGTCTCATATTTCAGGAGATGATTGAATCTCAATCTGTAGTGTAGAAAACCACTATATTCAGATTACACATTAATATTAAATGCCTGTCATCTGTTGCTTCATTATCATGGGATAATTTAACCAAGTGAGCTTTGAGGTTCTTGTTTCAATTGACAAGCAGGTAATACAGTAGACAGTTGAAACCTGAGAGAAAAAAAAGTTATCCTTTCTTAAATATGTACCTTTTAATTAAATATGAGTCAGTTACATAGAAGGTACTAACAGATATACTGACATCAGACAATGCATTTAATTAGCATATACAGTATAGATACAGATTGTTACCAGACAGTCAACAGAATACTGGAACAGCCAATAGCTCTAGAATCATATCCATATAAAACTTAACCTAGTTTAACAAAATGTATTTTATGCCTCAGTTTCATATAAGAAATATTTTAACTTCTAGGATACTTAAAATACTTGGTAAGTAATTAAATCCATTGCATGTATAATCTCTTCATTTTTTAAAATAAACATATCCTGATTAGAATACAGCTACCAAGATTTATACACAACATGACAAAAATCATATACAGACTAAAAGAACTTGGATAAAACCTTACAATAGTGCTTTTCTTAAAACTTATGGCACCAAAACACTCTATTTCACACTATTCAATGATTATTAGATGTTTTTATCCAATATTTATTACTTTAGAAGTAACTCAAGGTGGCAAACATTCCTAAATACTCCTTCCTCCTATTTTCCTCATCACCATCCCATGGCGTGAGTTGGGCAGAGACAGGGACCAACCCAAAGTCACTCATCCAGTTTTCATTCCTAAGGTAGGACTGGAACTCACACTCCTGGTTTCTAGGCCACACCTTAACCATTATACCAAACTGGCTCTCCATTCTCTTTCTAGAATAAAATGTTATTCTCCTATAAGGAAATAACTAAAGCAATAAAGCTTTTTTCTTGCATATTGCTGCTACTATGGTCCTACACAGCTTTTATGTTATATACCTGCCATGAATTATAAACAAGTTAAAAGAATACTGGCCTAAATTTCCCTTCTATTGAAATCTCAGCTTTGATTGTTATAACAATTGACATCCTACTTCTGGGCTAAATTCCTAATCTTACAAATATATCAACTTCAAAATCAAATTTAGCAGAAGCTAAATAGCACTTATTTACTTGCTTGTTAGATTTATAGTTCCCCATTCACAGGGAACTCCAAAAAGTCAATATGGCAGCCATAATGAAGTTGTTGATATTGTTTTATCTTGTTTTGTTTTACTGATCTTGCTATGAGGAAACAGGGTTATTGTATATAAGATGATCAATCATGTAAGTCTTGTAAATAATAAAAATGATCACATGATTGAAGCCCCTCCCCTCTTGTGCAGGTATCAAAATACTGCCATCTTCTTTTTTTTTAAAAAAAACAAACTCTTATTTTGGGTGTGTTTTCTCCAATCAATATACATTATCCTATTTTCCCCTCCAACAATAATTCTGTGAGGTAAGTTGAGAGTGAATAAGTGACCTAAAATCACCCAAGCAGCTTCCATGACTAAGAGTGGATTTGAAACTGGGCCTTCCCATTGCAGCCCAATATATCAACCATGTTTGTGGTTGTGGTTAATGTTTTTACTTGTGAGTCACCTAGAGTCAGAGTTGGGCGGCCTAGAAATGTAACGATAAATAAATAAATAAATAAATAAATAAATAAATAAATAACAGAAACATGTACATCCACCTTAAAAAGTTTCATCATAGTTAGGTTTTAAAAATGTAACAATAAATAAATAAATAAATAAATAAATATAAATAAATAAATAAATAACAGAAACATGTACATCCACCTTAAAAAGTTTCATCATAGTTAGGTTTTAAAAAGGTATTTGAATCCAAAATTTGCATCTTGGAGGATTTACTAAGAAATACTCCAGCAAATGTTCCAACTTATCAACTAATGATATTTTTTCTAAGTAATTTATTTTCCCTAAACAGAATTATTGACTTGGAATTACAGTATGTTTAGAAGAAAAAAGAAAACAACAACAACAACTAAAAGTCAAATCTTAGGAAATTTATCCTAAGATTAGGTTGACGAATAACTGGTGCAAGCAGAATCTATTAGCTTGATGAGGGTCCCCCCCCCCCCATTATCTATACTGATGGCACCGCTCACCTCCTGAATGCGCTTACGGGCCCTTTGCAAAACCTCCTCGTAGCCCTTCTGTCGTAGCTCGCTCAGACTCTCGTAATATTCCTCCGGGTCGTCGGTTTCGGTAAAGAGGACTTGAGAGAGGATCTTCCAGCCGCAAGTATCGAGGCAGTGGCCCAGGTATACCTGCAGCTGATAGCACAGCGCATCCATCTCTTCCTCGGACAGTTCTGGAGTCCCGAAGAGCACCGTCCACATCCCCGACGGTTCCTCGGGAAGGACGGGCAAACAGGGTTCCAGCTCGGAATTCACCGAGCTCAGCTGCTGATGGACGGTCCGCAGATCCTGGAAAGAGAAGAGGCCGGCCCAGCTGCATTCCTCTCCAGATAGCGCTTCCACCTCATCTGAGGCCGCAGTGGGCGACTCGGTCGCTTGAGGCCCGGCGGGAGGAGAAGGGAGAAGAAAGGCGGCGGCGGCGCCTCCCGAAGGCTCGTCCTTGCCCAGCTCCAGCTCCTCCAGATCTTCGGCCGCGCAGGCCTCTGGGCTGAGCGGCGCCTTCAGAACAGGCTGAGGCCTCCGGGCCAGGCTGCTCTTCGTTCTCGCCGGGCTCCTCTGCGACGCCTCAACCGCTCGGCTGCCCGGGCTGCGCGGAAGCGACTCGGCCCGGGCAGGCGATGCTGGCGAGCTCCTGGCTTGGACGGACTCCGCGCCGCGCCCGGCCGGAGGTTTTCGTATAGTGGGGCTGCCGGCCGTTTTACAGGAGGCGCTTGGCTGCTCGGCCGCTCCAGGGCCCACCGCGCCAGTGCGGCGGAGCTCCCGGGAGCCGCTGCGCTGCCTCTGCGCCGTCCGGTTGTGGCAGGTGATGGCGAACTTACTCTCGATCTCGTTCCAGGCCACAATGAAGACAAACTTCTGCTTCTCCCGCTCGTGGAAGGCGTGAGGCCTCACGGCTACCCAGTCCGCCTCCAAGGTCTCTTCCAAGGCGAAGGTGCTCATGGTGAACCGACACCGCGACGCCCCTCGCTTCCCTCTCCTCTCACGGACGTCGCGAAGTCTCTGTTCCGGTCAAGATTGCCGGGTACCTAGTTACGGCCCAGCCTCAGCCATGTTAAAGGCCGGCATCGGAAACCCAAGCGGGCGGAAACCCAAGCAGGAAGGATGCCAGACTAGCCGAGGACCCGGAGAGCCGCGGTGGGAAGGCGGAGGCGCCAGAGACCCGCCGGTGGCTTCCACGGCCGTTGCTCCTGCTGCTCCTGCTGCTGCTGCTGCAGCGCGCGCGCGCGCGCTTTCCGCGCGCTCTGCTTTGTTGTCAGGAGTCTGGCGGCCGCAGAGTCTCCGGCACAGGTACTTGCAGGCGGTCACGTGGAGACGCCGGATCTGTTTACAAGCCACCGCGAGGCCGCTGTCCCGCCCCCTGCGCTGTTTGCCTTCCCCGCCTCTTCCCTGAGTCCGCAGGACAGGAGGAAGAGCGCGGCGCTTTTCTCCTTTGTCGGCCTTTTTTGCCTCCGGGATTTCAGGAGCGCCTCCGCGTCCCCCTTCGCTTTCTCCTCGAAAAGATTCGGATCCAAGCGCTCCTCGGCGGATTAGGGGAAGGCTGGGATCCTGCCAGAAAGGCGCCTTGAACCCACGCCCAAGTGCCGAAAAGGGCAGCGCTTTAGTGTCCCCGCTGAGAGGTTCGTAAGACCCTCTTACGGACAGTAGCCGCTCATGGCGAGTGTCGGGGGTGATACGGGAGGTGACAAGCTCAGCTTCGTTTGCAAACTGTTTCTTGCCTTTGACGTGAGTTCGCGTGTTTTGCTTTGGTTGTTACGGAAAGGAAATGAGTATCAGTAAAACCTGTATCAGTCGTAGCGGCTAGAGATAGTCGGAAAATACAAACCTGATTCGTGGGAGTCAGTCTTAATTTTGAGCCAGCCTTACCAAAGTTCTTTTTAGAAGCTATTTCCAAGGTACAATAGGTAGGTATCCCATTAGGCTTTCATATTTTTCTAAATTTCATTACTCAACATAGACCAGAAAACACACCCTATATATCACATCCAAATATATCACAATCTGAATACTTGATTCCAGTTCCTTTTAATAGAATTTATTTCTATTAAATTTTATTCTTTTCTATTAATTCTATTAATAATTAAAATAATTATAAATAATAGTTAATAAAAGTTCCAAAAGGGAGGAAGGAACAACTTGCTTTTTAAATAACTAAATATCTTTTGCCTAATCATTGTCTGATATCTTACTAGGCAGGTGGCTATTTATGAGCCTGAAAAATGTAGACTAAAGGGGTCCAATTTGACAGGTTGATGTATGAGTAAGAGTATTTGAAGCTAACATTCCTGACATTGTTTGGTTAATAAATAATTATCAGGAATTATTGTGGTTGTAATTAGGATAAAAAAAAATACTGAGCTAATACACATATGCCTGTCCCTCAAAGTAACAAATTGGTAAGTTACAGATTCTGTCACAGAATATTTTTGGTCCACTTTAAAACCCAAGGACCTTATTAGGAAATAACACCTTCAAATCAGGGTTTTCTGACATGAAGGCACCAAAACAACAACAACAACAATAATAAAATCCTAATAGTAGTTTTTCCAAGACTATTTTCCTGAAAAATATACAACTGAAATGAACCTAAATATAGTTATTGAGACATAAAGGGCATTAGTCTCTCTACAATTAAAATAACTGATGGTAAAATAATGGACTCTAATGGACTCTCCTGTACTGTGCATGTGTTTGGATGTTGTGATGTTATTTTGGTAGTTTTAGAAATATGAATTATTTAAAAAATATCCAAAAACAAATGTTTTCTGATAGATTCTTATTGGCTAGTTAATATTTAGATTAAATTTTGCAAGTTCCAAAGACAGAACTGGTGGAATTAGTGACAAGTATTATATGGCAAAATGGGTTTGAATAATGGAAAGATTCCCATCAGATTCCCATTCAGATGATAGGTAAGTTACATTCTGAGTAGGGAATATTTTTGTTGAAGGTTGACTAGGGCCTATGTATCTGTAGTTAGTAAGGCCCAAATAAAATATGAATATGATCATCACTGTATCCTCTCTTTGTCATTTCCTTCATTTATACATTTGTATTCAGTTTTCTATTAGCTGAATATTTCATAATTTCCATATTTTTAAAGCTATATACACTAAAGATAGTTTCAAAGGAGAGTAACATAAAATGAAACAATATAACTATTAAATGCATAGTCGAATGTTTGTCAACCTCAGCAATTTTAATATGGAGTTTAGGGAGTTGAAGTCCACCCATCTTAAAGTTGCTGAGATTGAGAAACACTGGTACAGGGTACATCAAGCTATATTTATAGTAAAGAAAAAAACAGAAGAACCTTGAAGTTGTGAGGGTCCTTAATATAAAATTGAATAGTGCAGTTTATATAATGTCTCATATAAAATGTAATAGAATAGACATACAATATCTATCCCAAAATAGCAAAAAAAAACAACCCCAAATACTTTAGCTTTCTAACTACAACTAGAACTTAAACCTCAAAACAGTAAATGAGGAACTGTGGGAGAAACCACAAGCCACATAATACATCAATCTTATATAATAGCTGCTGGGGTATTTTTCAAACAAATACATTTCATTCTTGTTATCTAAGATGGTAAGTGGGAACATTTTTTTAATATTTAAATTTTGTTGCTTTGCCTTGTTGATCTTTGATTTTAATAGAATTCTAAAAACTGTAGTTTGAATTATGCCTTGCCTGATAATATTGCACTTTCCATTGCAAAAGGATTTATATTTATTTCAGAAAAGTAAACAGGCAGGCTAATGGTAGACCATCGTTCATAGTTTATTAAATCTCATATATTTATTGAATCTCACATGTGGTAACTCCATAGAACTATAAGGTTATTTGCTTGATGATACATTTGAATCAAGATGACAGGTTAACATGGTATAATAGGAAAGTGACTAAATAGATTTAATGTGTATTTTACTATATGCTATCAGAGCAATAAATATATTTAATTATTGTTTTAATTTAAAATGTATGATGCCTAAAGAATTTTAAGGTCATCTATAAAAAAACTAGGACATATACAGTATATTGAACATATTAAACATTTAATATTGCTTCATTTCTGCATTTTTATACCCTAAGGTAGTAATGGAATACTTATTTTTAAAAATCAACCTGTTTCCTCCCTTCTTTTTTAAAAAAGAAATCTAGTCTAATAATGTGTTTTGCAAAGTCAGAAATTTTGCATTTTTTTTCATATGAGCTGCCATATAAATGATGTGTGAGTTGTCATACATTCTTGTTTATGACTTAAAGTTGCTTGATTGCAGGGAGCCTAAAATTTACATTCAGGATGTAACCCAGATGCATGTTATAGCATTTCTTAATTGTGGTTGTCAAATTAGTAATTTCTATGTTCTACCGATATACTCATAGAAGTTGTTTCTTTGAATTGTATAGCCTTCTTAACCAATGCTATAACATGAGCACTCCAGGTCAGGTCCTCCTTTATGGTAACACCCAGAAACCTAAAGCTGGCCACTCGCTCCATACAGTCTCCACTGATGATCTGATCTATTCCTCCTGTAATCTACTATAAGTTCCTTAGTCTTAGTTGTGTTGAGAACCAAATTATTGTCTCTGCACCACAAGAGCAACCGCTCCACCTCATCCCGGTAGGCACACTCATCCCCCTTGGAGATAAGCCCCACCACTGTTATATCATCCGCAAATTTAACAGTAACATTGCTGGGATGAGTGGGGGTGCAATCATAAGTGTAGAGAGTGTAAAGTATGGGGCTCAACACACAGCCCTGTGGGGAGCCCATATTAAGAATAAGGGCTGAAGAGATATAGTTGCCTAATCTAACCCTGTGAGAGTGGCCAGACAGGAAGTTCATAATCCAAAGGCAGATTGAATGTGAAAGTCCAAGAGTGATAAGTTTAGACACCAGTGTGTATGGAAGAATTGTGTTAAATGCAGAGCTAAAATCCCAAAGAGCATCCTTAGATAGGTCCCGCACTGCTCCAGATGAGTCAGACCAGTATGCCTATGGCATTTTTTTGCTCTGTATGCAAACTGGTGACTGTCAAGTGTGTATGGGAGGCAGGACACAATGTGCCTGCAGACCAGTTTTTCAAAACACTTCATGATAATAGCGATTAGTGCCACTGGTCTTTAATCACTGAGACTGTTAATAAAAGACTTCTTTGGTAATGGAACAATGATGGAGGTCTTCAGACAGGATGGAATAGTGGACTGGGATAGAGACCGATTAAAAGTCTTGGTAAAGATCCCATCCAACTGGTCTGCACAGTCTTTAAGCACCTGGCCAGAAATGCCGTCAGGTCCAGCAGTCTTTCTTGAGTTCACAGCTCTCAAGGTACTCCTCACCTCATGCTTCTCCACAGTGAGGGGAGGGCTGTGGTGGACTAGTGGCTATAGCACAGCTGCCTCTGATAGCTTGATAGCTTGCTGCCAAGTAAATAGCTATATTTATTTAGTAGTAAGCTCTAAAGATATTAGAAATTATTTTTGAGTAGGAACATGCTGGTTCTATTTATTTTGAAGATAGAGATACTCAAACAGCAGCTTCCATCTCATGTAAGATTCCAGAGCCTGGAAGGCTGCATGCAGTTTGATGTCAATGATCCTCTCATTTGTTTTCCTACATTTTTTGATCAATTGCTGTGGCAACTCCAGCCAGTTTTACTAGAAAATCTTCCTATGTATCCAAGAGATCATAGTGTGAGTTGCAAAATGACAGATGTTGCTGGGCCTTATTTTAAAAAAGGCCTTTAGGAAATCCTGCAGGACCTATAAGNAATCTTGGTTCTGTCCAGATCACTTGGGAAACAAGGAGACAGTTGTAGATTCTTGTGTATTCAGATATGTGTGTATGGGGTTCAACAACCTTACAGGACTCTATGCCTTCCTGTGAGTCTGTCATGAATCTTCACAAGTACCCAAACATTCTGTTCCTTTTGATATTGATTAGTAGAACCTGAGAGCATGATAGATAGCTGGGAGGGGAAATTAATAGAAGAAGGGAAAAACAGTTGACAGACTGGCAAAGAATTTAAAAAATATATGTTGGAAAGGAGAAGCTTTAAGTCTTGAAGAAAGTACGATTGCTGGCAACCTAACATGAAGATAATTGAATTGTTGGTTTCAGTCCTGAAAATTTATTGTTGGTTTTTAATACTGAGAATCATACTGGATAGTGATCTTGAAGTGGACTCATTATGTTACACTGCTGAATGATTGTGGGTTTGAGTAGAATCTGATTTCTCCTTATCTAACCAGGAGAAGAGTTGGTGAAGACCTGAAGACAAGGAAATGTGATTGAACATACTACGTTTTACCAGGCAGAGAGAATGCTTGTATTAGCCTGAAAGAGAGGATACTGGCCAGTATGTTTATGTTACTTTAAATAGAAAATGTTACAAAATAAACATATATACATACAGTAGATGTTAAGCCAATATTCTAGAACAGGGGTCCCCAACCCCCAGTCCATGGACATGCACCAGTCCCATGCCAGCAATCAGGCCACACAAACAAGTGAAGTCCCATCCGCGGGATGCAGGCAGCACGCAAAACCTGTGGTCCATGGAAAAACCTCTCTCTACGGAACCGGTCCCTGGTGCCCCAAAGGTTGGGGGCCACTGTTCTAGAATGCACAAATACCTAGGGAGATAATGCATTCAGTAGAGGGAAAAGGTTACTTCACAGTTCTTTTTAAAATTTGAGCCTTGGAGGGTATCTGTCCAGTAAAGAATGGAAAGTGGTTATCTAGCTGTAAATAACTCTTGTGAAGACAGGTCACAAATCCAGAATTAACTACTGTTTAGTTTCTTAATAAAGGGTAAAAAAGGAACTTTGTGCTATGTCTTGTTTCAAATCCTATGAAAATACAGAGGCCCCTTTTTATTTTTATGTATCTGTCTAAAATGGCAGGGTTGCACATACAAGTGTGCATTTCAGTACATATCTATGTGTGCATATGTATTTTGCAGTTCACTATCACATGTGGGCCACAAAACTGAAAAGTTGCCTACCTCTGTTTTAAGTTGAGTGACCTCTTTGTGTTTGGTTGTAACAGAGTAATATGGCTACATCTCTGGAATCAATCCCACCAGTTTACTTCTCTTAAAGCTACAGTATGTTTACTCATTTTAATCAAGAACATTTAATACCTAATTCATACAAAGATCTTCATTTGCTTTGGTTTTGGTAAATAAATACAAATCTTGCCTCAGGAGGACTTTTTCTTGCCAAGATAAAGGCTTGAATTCAGAGGGCACATCCAGACAACCAGTTTAATGTTCTGTTTTCCTCTCTGGGAACTGACACAAAATATGCCAGCATAAATTTGCTCTGTCCCCATTCAATTGATACCCCTGCTGGTGGGTAAAACAGCAACCAAGGATTTTATCTAATTTGGCTGGGTCTGAGAAAGGAGGCGAGTTCTAAATGATGACCAGAGCAGTAGCTAACCTCAGAACCAAGAAGCTCCTATCTACCTCATAAATCAACCTCAGTGCTTTCTCCTATAGTTCAGGTATTGAGGAGAATATTTTTTCAGTCATATTATTCCCTAGTACAGGGGTAGGCAACCTTGGCTCTTTTATGACTCGTGGACTTCAACTCCATGCTGGCTCAGGAATTCTGGGAGTTGAAATCCACGAGTCATAAAAGAGCCAAGGTTGCCTACCCCTGCCCTAGTATATGAGTGGCCTGTCAGGCATTATCCATGACAGCTGATCAGAGGAGAGGGAAAGCCATCACAAGAGCTGAGTGGATCCCACTCCTTGACCTCTTCTTGCCCACCAATACGGTACCAGCTGGAACTGGCCACAGAGAATGGAGGAGAATCACCACAAAACGGTGCCTCTTACTCCCAGTCTCCTGAATTAGTCCATGAGGATACTATTGAAAGCCACTGAAAGATCCAGGAGACCCAGGACAGTTGCACCACCACGTCCTGAGCCTTTCAGAGTCCAGCAGCAAGTATGACCAATGCCAAATTAGTGTTGTACTATGGCTTGAACTCAGATTGAAAAGGATCCAAATAATCTGCTTCACCCAGGGCCGTCTGAAGCTGTGTGCCAACTACCGTCTTAACAGTCTTTCCCCAATAGGGATGGACACAGGACAAAAGTTGTTTAATATAGCTGAAACCATTGAGTAGGCGTGCATTATGACCTCCGAGGTAAGTGGTACCATCCCATCCTGCAAAGAAGCATTAACAACCACTTGGTTCAGCCATATGCCATCTCCCATGACGCCCTAACCAACCAGTAGGGTCCAGAACACAGACGGCTTCTCACAGCTGCAAGGAAGGACCCTGTCCACACCCTCAAGTTCAACCATCTGAAACTCTTCTTGGATAACTGGGCTTAGATTGTCTCATGAAGTTGGCTGATATTGCGTATGAATTGGATTAAGAGGAAGATAATGTCATGCAGAGATGTTTGTCAAGAACTGGTTCAAAGTGAAATTAGGGAGACGTGGATATGCTAAAAAAAACACTACTGGTAGGAGAAGGGAATAACAAAACTGGGATAGGCAACCACAAGATGGCAGCAAAGAATTAAAGAAAAGTAAGATAAGATAAGATAACCTTTATTGTCATTTTTATACTGTGGGCACGATGGCACACATCAAAAATGAAATTTAGTTGCCCACTCTCAAAGTGAAAGACATACATGACACACACCTAAACATACTATGAACAACATATGTATAGACCCACATCCCTACATATACGTAGCAAATAAATATTAAATATTGTCCATCTTGAATATATAACGGAAGGAGGAAGCTTGAGAGTTCGCAAGGTTAATGCTGTATGGAATGAAACTGGCTGAATCTGGATGTTCTGCTTCGGATACCACAAAGCCTCCTCCCAGAAGGTAACAAGGAAAACAGGTCATGAAGAGGATGTACAGCAGCCCTACAAGGTCATTTTCTGGCAATAACTGTATCAGTTAATTCCTTCCCTAAATGCTCAGGGAACCTCTTAAGTAAAAAATTGTGGCACAAGAAGATAAAAGGTCCAAGTGACAGTAAACTATTTTGAAATGTAGCCATCATCTTCATGAGTGTCCACATAGCTTTTTCAACACGAGTAGCAACAAATAGGAAGTAACACTAAAATTAGCTGCAATGTATAAAGGATTCCAAACGCATTTGCTACTGGCCCAGTTGAGACAGAATCATTTTTCTAACTTTGATTCTGCCATTTTATACCAGAAGTTATCAAATTCTGGACCTCAGATACTCTGTGCATTGAATCATCTGTGTATTGAATCATTCTCTGGCTAGCTAATGTAATTAAGTAATTCTTATGAAAAAAACTTTTGAAGATATAATTATATTAGGTTGATAAGATGTATTAATGCCATTTCTTCTACTAATATTTATTTCTCTTTTTACAAGGTATGAAAAAATATCTTCCATGATGGCAGCTTTATAGGAAAACTGGTTTTGGATTCTTGTAGACAAGCTGTATTCAAGAACTGTTTAGCTTCTGGTGATTTAGCACAAAGAGCTTTTGTTCTATTTTTGGAAAAGGATTCCACAATGTGAACATTCAAGTTACTGTATTACATTTCATTGTGCAATAATAATATAAAATATATCTTTAAATTGAAACACTTAAATTAAAATGCTATTATTTTGTTCGGGGCTGATCAATTTGTCCAAGGATTCTCTCTCTGTCCAAAATATTACATTCTGAATTTTATATATTTTCCTGACTATCCAAAGGTGATTATTAATACATGCGATAAAAAACAAATCTGAGATTACTTGATCTTGAAAACTTTGACAATATTTCAATAATGCACTGGCTCACCCAAAATGTTAGCTCTCTCCACAACCTCTAAAAGTACTAGAAGCAATTTGCATCCAGTACTACAACATAACAGTCCTGTAAATTTTGAATTCCTTATGCACCATATTACTTGTTATAATATAGTATTATGCATAATTTTGCATAGTATTGAATGATGCCTATATTATTTCCTTAACACATATACAGGTATCAACTCATTATTTTCCTTTTTTACTTGGTTTTTTTTCACTTATCTTTTTTCTTCTTCACATATATGGATTTCTTTTTAATTGAATAATTTTAGGGTTCATAGTTGATTAGACATTTTATAAATAAGAATTCATATTTGTATTTAGTTACAAAATAGGTTTCTTGGAATTCAATCTCTGCCTCTAGTAAGTTTGTACTTAGTTACAAAATAGGTTTCTTAAAGTTCAATCTCTGCCTCTAGTAAGTTTGTTAACTAAATGCTTCCATTAACATGAAAAACGGTACACGTTTTTTTAGTTTTTAGCCTAATAAAGATACTGCCATACTTTGGAGGATTTTTTTTCTTATGACTTTGGCATGTTAGCTTTTTTATATAATAATTTCATAATATATTTTTTAAAATATATATACATATATCTTGTGATAAATAGTACCTCCAAAACTCTAGACAAATCGTAGTTAAAATACCCAAATGTGGCAAGTTTGATACTTTATATCATGGGTGGGCAATTAAGTTTTCCAAGAGGCCACATGAGAAACTGGCACTGTTGTGGAGGAGGGCTGTTGCTGCCCCCACCCGCCCTCTGTTGCTGCTGCAGCCCATGCCACAGGCCAGACAAGGGCCTGTGGGCCATAAAATGCTGAGGTGTGCACTATATTATATTTAGATTTATATAAAATAGGAAAGTATTATATTCATGCTTTGTACTAGTTTATTAGCCCTGTGCTAATTAAAAAAAGGGATATATCATTACCAAACAATAAGATAGTTATCTCAGTCGAATTTGAACGTAGTAGTTCAGAACAACTATTAGAAATATATCAGTAACCCACAACCTTATTTCTGGAGCTATTGTTCCATTTCTTTACCGACTTGACAACTCTTTATTCTTATTTGCCAGACATATCAAATATATTCACATGTCTTTGCCATGCAGGAACAGTGTGCAAAATATACAAGATGCAATGAATAAACAAGATCATCTCAAGCACTTATTGTTACAGTTTAGTTGAAAGAATTCTCAGGTTGCTAGGAATTACAGCATTGTTCTCTGTAGTGTTGTATTACAATTGAGTTACTCAATAACAGCCTTAACACAATAGTTAACCATGGTGTGTATTAGCAAGTACACATTTTATTTTAGTTTACTTAAATATAAACATTCTTAATTATTTTTGCCCAGAAAAGCTAATAAAGAAGGAGCACAACTGGCAATAAATTTTGTTTTATTAATTTTATTTGTCTATCTCAGAAGAGTGAACTGCTTAAACTATAAACACATAATTTTAGGAACATATCTTCTAAATCAAGAAGAGTATTTGTACATTTGCCCAAAGTACAGTATAGGAATCCTCTGCCCAAACAAGAGAAAAAAGCACCAAATCCACCTAAATGTAAAGCAAACAAGTAAGTTTAAAAAACATTATTGTATGAATAGGTTTTCCTGCTTGGCTTTCTGTATAGGCAACAGATGTTTAATCTGTCAGAGGATGGCTGACAAAACGTCAGAGACTCGAAATATAACTGCTTTTTTAAGGGTCTAGTACAGTGATGGCGAACCTTTTAGAGACCGAGTGCCCAAACTGCAACCCAAAACCCACTTATCGCCGGGTGCCAGGTGGGCGTGGCCCACTGGGTGGGTGTGGCTGTGGTCATGGCAGACTGGGTGGGTGTGGCCAAGGTGGGCATGTTCACCTCAATGTTGCTTGTGGGGAGGGACGCCTGTGAGGGCTGGGCAGGGTTGGGGGAGATCCAGGGCGTCTCTGGCAGGTGGGACGGTGGGCAGGAGGCTCGTCCTGCGGGGTGAGGCGAGGCAGGGCAGGGGTGCTATTGCTGCAGGGCAAGGGGCAGGGGCGGCGGCTGCCTGACACCATCGGCCCCCGCACAGAGGCCAGTGAGCGCATAGGGGCCAACAGTGTCCATCAGCAGTCACAGCCTGCTAGCCCCTCGACCGGCACACTCTGGGGCTCTACAGCCCGCCGCTAGCAGTTCAGAGAAGCTGCCTCTGAGCTGGACGGCTGGCCGACAGTTGAGGAAGCGATGCAGTGGGTTGTGCCCAGGAAAAGGAGAGCATGCGAGGCCAGAGGGATCGGACGGGGGGGAAGGAAACCAGCCATGCTGGGATGCATCCGGCCATGTGGAACCTCGCTGAGTTAGCGGCGGCTGGTTGAATAGGGACAGTTGCCATCTCCGGGGTATGGCGCGCGTGCCCACAGAGAGGGCTCTGAGTGCCGCCTCTGGCACGCGTGCCATAGGTTCGCCACCACTGGTCTAGTACATTGGTATTTTGCCAAACATTGCTCCACGTAAAAGCCCGTCCCCCAAGTTATATTAGCAACCCAGATGAAGCTAAATTATATCTAATCTAAAATGCACTCATGTTTTGCCTACAATCTTAAACCCTGGCTGTGGGAAGGAAATGTAACTGGATGCAATGTGACTTAAAAGCACAAATCTGGAACCAGCAACTGTTATTGAAGAAATAACCCTTTTATGTAATGGAATTTTCACAGCTGAAGGTTCCACAAGCATGATTATCTATGGAACCCCTGGCAGAAATGGCCAAACCTGTGTACTGGAGGGGTATGTCAGAGTAACTGAGAATCTGCAGGACTGTATTGTGCTTCTATGGAAATCTCAAAACTGCAACACTGGAAACAAAGGAAAGAAAATCACTATTTGGCCTTATACAGTTTCTAATTGCAATGAGCCAGCATAGCTTAAAAAACACTTTACTAGCTTAGCTACAGAATGTCTATCTGCTTTCTTTCAATTGGATGATCCTATTTAATAAAATAATCTCAATACAATCAAAGATGAGGAATCTTTCTTATGTGCATATAACCATGTTAGAAAAAAAGTAATGTTTGAAGTTATATTTTAATGTCTATGAATTACATTTGCCCGTATCATCTCTTCATTTAATATTGATTGTAATTTTTAATTGCTGCTAATTTAAGATACAGTTTTGGATTTGAATGACTGTTTCTTGAAAAGCTCTTTCAGCTGTTGTTCAGTTGTTGTTTCTTTCTGCTGTATCAGATCACCTTTGGTCACGTCCCAATCATCTGGCTTTGACAGTGAGGGACAATATGGTCGACCTGAAGCAGGTAACATATTCTCCCAGTACTCTTTTCTAGCCCTAAATACAAAACAAACAAAGCCAATTAGTGGTTTGTAACAGTTGCAATGTCTCAAAGTCAACTGACTGCCATTTATGACGTTCCCAGGGGGCTTTGGACAAACGAAGTTAGTGGGGGAAACCAAACTGTGATTCACTAAACAACCACAATGATTCACTTAATAGCCATGGCAAAAAAAGATTATAGAATTGAGCGCAACTCACTAACCACATCATTTAGTGACAAAATTTCTGATCCCAATTGTTGTAAGTTGAGTAGTAACGATATTTTAAATCAATTATTTTACTACCAAAATTAAAATTACACTTACCTTGCTCTAACCCAGGGTTTAGTATGCATACTCAAATCGCTCCCCCAGCTACCATGTTTTTCAGAAGCACGGGGTAAAAAGCCCTTTTCTGGGGCCAGCTCCTCAGCAATTGCTCTGATATGATATGGTTCAAATCCACAGCATCCACCAATATATCTGATCCCTAAATTGTAAGCTTCTCTTGCATATTTGTGAACATCCCATCGGGTTAAAATTCTTGGCTCCAAAGCTGTAATGACATGAATTTTTAAATATTCATTATAATAATTCAATTAATATTATGTACAGGGCTGATAAAAATTCAGCATTATCTTCAAGATATTTCTTTTAACCTGAACAAACCAAGTTAGGTAATTATGCATTTATTTAT